TGCCTTCTGGTCGTTGTTTGCTTCTTCTACAAGAGAAGGCTTCTATCACAGGACGAGTATTAGTTGAGTGTGACATTCTTCTTTCCTTGGCTTGCCGCATCTGGCTGCGCCGGCGCCTAAACCAATAAAGATGTGCAAACTTTGAGTTCTCGGCCACACTGCTTCCTACCCGAACTGGTGTGTTTGTCGTCTTGTTTCGTTTGGCACCCTCCAGGAAGCTGCCCGCAAAAAGAAGGCTGGCCCGCCGTCGATTTTTGGAGTTTTGAGATGTTTGATATTGGATGACCTTTTGCGTCCTTTTGTTACCGTTGCAGTGAATGTCAGGACTTCAAGCTCGATAACCCTTTGGCTGTCAAGAACCTTCTGCTCTATGCGGTTCCCAGACCCAGACTGAACTTGTTGAAAATGGCCTAGTTGGAGTCAACTACTGCCTGGGGCATCAAGCGTGGACAGAATGTGTTGAAAGACTTGACCTGCGTTGCAATACTTTGTTTTTTGATTGACATTGTTTCAGATGTTCGACGTCCAGGCCTTTGTCGTATTTGTGACTTTCTCAGGATGTGCGCCCGGTGCGGTATAAATTTTTGGAAGAGATCCTGAGGGCTGGCAAACCGTGGACTCGGCGACAGGAAGCTCAAGATATGAACATGGAAGATGGCCAAACGGCATTGGTGACACGGGAAGAGCTAGAAAGTCTGTGGCATCTTTGGCATTTATTTGTTTTTTGTTGCTTCCACTTGATTCGATGATCCCGCCTTTTTTTCCTCACCCAGAATCAACTTTCCAGCGCTGAGACTCCTGCTGCGCTGACCTTTGAGTTGCGCTGCATTTCCCTTTAAATGGTTGTATCTTAATGCGTTTGCTTGTTTGTGTGGTTGTTTCTAGCTTTGTCGCCCGGCCCCTCTATTTTGAGTTTTGACGGATGCTGCAATCGGTTTTGCTGAGGTCTTCTCCTTGTTCTCTTTGTCAGCTACTGTTTCGAACGTTGGTTGTCGTATGAGGTCGCTGTGCGCCTGCCATGTTATACTACTGATTCTTGCCCTCTCGTGTCAAGAAATGGTAGAGTGTTTGTTTCCTTGCTCATGCAGTACAATTGTTTGTATTTACAGTAATGCAAGCTTCTTGGGCGCATATTTTCGGCTCGGCTCCTTTGTAGCTGCCAAGGTATGATGCGGACAAGCGCAGATTTTACCAAACGGCAGAAGGAACTGTCGAAGTCCACCTTTTCTCCGTCTCCCACATATGGGAAGCAATGGAACACCCGGATGCTTGGAGATACCAACTTCAAGAGACAGTGCGTGGTTTACAGCACCTGGACGGGCTCGTTTGGGTCTTTTTTGATTACACCAGCCTTTACCAGTATCCCCGTGCCACAGAGCACCAACGCAAGTCCTTTCAGCGTGCCTTGGAGCACATGCACTTGCTTTACGCGCATGATGGGATCAATGTGCTGATCATCGACCAGCCCACGGAGCAGGCCTTGGCAACCTTTGCTTTGTGCACCGACAAAACACGGTTGTAGAGCAAGTTTTGCACGGCGCCAAGTCAGGCTACCAAGCAGATGATGGAGCAAGAGGAAGGTCAGATCGAAGTCTACAGTGAGACACGGGGGAAAGTGTGCATTGTTCGGATCAGCGAGTTGACGATAAACAACCACCCATACTTGGCTCGTGACTAGTTTCACAATCCTGGGTAGAATCTGACGCTCGACACATTTTGCCCGTACTGCTAGTACAGACAGTAGCATCTCGATTGAAAAATCGGGCGATGTTAGGGTCCAAAACTTCTGACTCATGCCACGCGCCGTGGCGTACAAAGAAAACAAAGACAGGAAACTAGAAAGTTTCTTGTATCTAAAAATGTGAAACGATTCGAGGTGACGTGATTCGCGAGGAAGCTTGTAGTTACTAGAAAGCTTTCTTGTTACTAGTGCCTATGCGCCATTTTTGAGTCAAGCCGGCTGCCTGGTTTGTGGGGTTCGAAACACTAGCCTTTCGAACCCCACAAACCCCTTGCCATGCGGCCAGCATGCAGCATGGCATCCAGCCGGGTAAGCCCACACCGGGCGATTGTTATGCATAGATCCAAGTTGAGAGATGCAGGTGATGTTGACAGACTACCCACTTCTAGACCCTTGTTAGGCAGGAAAACACGATGCAAACTGCATGTCGAACTGGCGACCTCCACTTCTGACCATATCCTCAACTAGCAAGCATGTGTTACTTAGATGGTTTCTTCTTTTGACCCTCTCGTCTGGCGGCTGCTGGCTTTCGTTCCCCCCCTTCTCAGGTATGTATACCTAGAACCCATTGACCGAAAAGGCCATACTATGGACAGTTGATCCTCCAAAAACAAGATACAGGTCACCGAGGTTCTAGGTATATTATGTTTATAACTTATTCGGACTATAGCTGATTTGTTGTTCCCCTGCCAGCTAGTGCCTTGGCAGAGTAGGCCTAATCCATATTCAGCGAGAACGCAACAAGACAAATGGCTGGATATAGTAATGAGACTTTCACACACATCCGAAATCGATGTGCAATCCAGTCTCTGAAAATAGCTGAGCAGTCACTCTACACACCTCGGAGAAGCTCTGAACCCGGGCTTTGTTTGCGCTTGCGTCATCCCGTCCTTGGAAAGGGCTGGAACTGACCACCCTTCATCATCAGCCGCCCTATGATACATCTCAGCGAGCCCTTCGAGCTCCATCGCAAGATCCGGTTCCACACCAAATCATGCAACTTGCAGCATTCATGGCCAAGCTCAGGCACTGTTACCTGAAATTTCTCGCACTGCAACTCGAGGATCTGGTAAGAGGTTTCCTGTTGCTTCTCTGATCTTCCCACTTCTCCATGCGCCCTCGACGTGATCAAGGAACCATGCTCTATTTTGAACAGTGAACAACAAGGGTCTGGCTAAGTGGAAGTCACCAAGCGTGTCCCCTCCTATTTAAAGAAGTCTCCCGCTCTTGACATGGCAGTTGACCATGAGCTTGAGGAGGGCGGAAGTCTCAAAATCCTCCAGCCCTTGAGTGGCCAAATTCTCAATCTTGCGTCTAGCGCCCTTTGTCTAGCCTTGGCTCTGCAAGCTTGTTGCTCCGCAGTATTCTGAACCATCATGTTTTCCTCTAAAAAAGGGCATCCGCTGCATTCAGCACTTTCTTTGGTCGTCAGGGAATCTGATAGCTGCAAGCAGGTGGGTGCCCATCAAGATGTCCACCATAGGTGTTTCAATGACTCTTTCGCAATCACTCCCTCTGATCACATCACCAGTTCTCCCAGGAGATGCGAAGGCTGATGCTCCTACACGGTGACGGACCGTTAGTGGAACTCCTGTGCAAAATCACCACCGCTTGGCTTGTACGAGTGCCACTTTCACAGGAGGCATCCTTTTTCCATCAGACACAGTTAAGAAACCTTCGCTTTCTGAGCAATCCACTACCAGCAGCCCTGTTGCGGCCCTAGGTATATAGTCACGCCGCCAAAATTTGCCTCCTTACTTCACTCATGTGGTGGCAGCTTGGGGTGAGAAGCTCTCCGAAGGTGCTTTGGCAGTCAGTGTGCTCGAGGCATCCAAACATAATCTGAGTTCAAGACACCGGAGACATGGCCGGGTTGGTCCTGCTCTTGGTGCTGGTGTTTCTGTGGTCTTGTGCTGCGACATTACAACACTTTTGCAAGAAACAAGAATGGCGTTTGATGACCGGCGCCGAAGCTGGAAAAAGGTCGATTGCACCCTTAAAAAATCTGCGGTGCTATTGCAATGGCCCGACACAATGGTCCTAATGATCTCACGCGCATGGAAAAGTTCGAAGCTAAATTGAATCGATTCACCGGCAAGAAAATCCCCAATCTTCGTCTTTCGCGTTGTCCCTTCATCTCTTCGTGATTTGCCGAGTGGCCTGTATTATAAGGCGAGCATGGCGTCAATCAATCTTTCCATCGTTAAGTGCAATCACATGCGTCGGCAGGAGCTGCTCTGGCATAATGTCATCGCGCGTGTTCACTCAGGTCCAAAGCCACGGCTTCATATTCATGGCAACTGGCAAGAGGAGCAGGATTCAGTTTGTCCTGACTGTTGTAGAGCTGACAGACAAGAGGTTTCACAGTGCAGAAATGGAATGAACATCATTGAAAATCAATATCCAACTTGAGACTGTTCCGGCTTTTGAATTAATTTCAACCTGTTTGCCATGTCACCATGCATGCCGCATACCTTTCCAAGCCCGTCTTGTCCCGGATGTTGGTGAGGGGTAAGCCTCCCTGCCACGCAACATTGGAGGTGCAACCACAGCAGTGGCATAGATGCGTGAGTTGCGTGAAGGCCCCTAGCACTCCGGCGCCGCTGTGTGGTTCCTGCAAAGTCACTTGCACAGCGCTAAGAAAGATGGATCTGAACTACTGCTAGTTGCGCTGATTGTGCCAGTACGATCCAATAGGCAGGTTCTGTGACACACGAACTTTAAGGGTCTTCAGGCCCTTTGTAGAAGAAGCACCAGTCAGAAGTTTCTTGCAGGGAGATTTCGATGGTTTGATCTCGGCCTTCAAATGGCAACTCGGTTCGCACCTCCATTCTGGCCAACTCGGTTCGCAGCTCCATTCTGGCTCAAAGACTTGGGAGAAAGCGCTTGCACCACGGCCAGGTGAGACGGAGCACACGGTCAGAGCGCATTTTTCTTTGCATAAGTCAGGAAAAAGAGTTCATTCTTTTTCAGTGGCCTGCAGGTGTTTTGGTAGACATGGTTGCTGTTTTGCACACCTGGTGCTGCCCTGAGCAAGAAGAAGAGCACTCAAGCCATTCGCCAATCTTGCAAACAGATGCAAACAGCAGCAGGCGGTGCATACAGCTGGTTGCGGTCCTCCCGCTCTTTGCAGCTCAGGCTAACGTCACGCAAGTTGAATCATTCGAAGCTCACAGCCTTGGTCCCATCGGCTCAGGACGCTTGGTGGCCCATTTCCCACAGAACACCTTTGGCGCCTAGCGGGCGACTATACCACAGCATGGCGTGGAGTGATTCGGCGGGTGGCTTTTACATCTTCGGAGGATGGGATAGCAGCTTGGACGCAGGTGCAAAGAGCAGTGACCTGGTTGAGCGTGGCGCAATGAATCTCGATGCTGAGGTTTTTTTGACGGGTTCAATGACTTGTACTTGTATGTCCATGAGGCCGAGGACGAAAGAAACGATGGACCACATCCATAGAGTTTCTTTTGCGCAGTGCAAAGTGCGGGCCCCTTTCGCTTCTTCATGTCAAGCAGGGCAGGCCCTCATGGCACTTTCAGGTGGGTTCAACATGTTTTGATGCGTTGCAATATTTCTTACATGTCGCGCGCGCACGCCAATATCCTGATAATAAAATATTTGGTTTCGTGTTCTCTGAGTATTCCGAGGCTTTGCGTTGCCAACTGACCGACTGCACTGCTACTTGGATAAAATTGTTTCGTGGCAAGTTTCCAGTGTGTTGTGACAGGCCAACCAATGGCAGCAGATCACCCCTCACGGCACAGTCCCCAGCCGACGATCTAGCCACAGCATGGCTTGGAGCGACGCCGCGGGTGGCTTTTACATCTTCGGAGGAACTGATGGCAGCTTGGACGCAGGTGCAAAGCGCAGTGAGCTGTGTGAGGTCCTGCGTCGTGTCATGCTACGCGTCCTGGTGCCGAGGTAGTGACTACTTGAATGACTTATATTTTTACGCCAGGGAGGCCTTGAGGGGAAACACGGATAATTGGTTTAAACATATAACACGCTTCAACCACCAGTGATTCATATTTCTTTTGACGGGGAGGTGTAAAGATAAAGGATAGACAATAACGTGCTATTTGAGGTTTTCACGCGTTCTGCTACTTGCACATTTGTGTTGGCTACTGCGCAGGCCAACCTGTGGCAGCAGATCACCGCAAACGGCCCAGCGCCGAGCCCGCGACGACGGCGCAGCATGGTTTGGAGCGACTCCGCAGGTGGTTTTTACATCTTTGGAGGATACTATGGTTGCTTGGATGCAGGTGCCAAAAGCAGTGATTTGTTCGAGCGCGGTGGCGCAGCAAGTCTTCGCGCTGAGGTTCAGAGTTGAATGATTTGTATCTCTATCACCATGAGGCCAAGGGGGTAAAGAGCGATGGACCATGATGGATCACATCCATCGAGATGTTGTTTTCTAGAGAGCATGGTGCGCGGGCGTCCCCTCACGTGTTCATGCCAAGCAGCAACTGGACCGCGCAAGCCCTGATTGCAAGTTTAGGTGGGGTTCAACCAGTTTTGCCGTGCCGCATGCTCCGGGATAGTTTCCTAGCGTCAGGCGTCAGTCTTTTGTTGTTGGTGAATGCTAATGCGCGCGTTGACCATGACATGTTTGAGAGTCGTATTATATTGAAGCTTCATGCAAATCCAAGCCCAAGTCGCGTAAGGCTGTAGAAAGGGCTTGGAAGACACATGGGGCGCAACGCATAAACTGCTTTTCCAACGACCAACAAAGATGGTGGTGATGTGCATTTTGAAGCAAAAGCCTTTCCGCCCAAGCCGGTGAACATTTAGACGGAAAGTGTCGTTCCAACCTTGCATAGCTTTTGTGGGCCGCCAAAAGGTTCGAGGAGGTAGGAACCACTCCAACGGCGTGCCCTCTGTGAGCAGCCCAAGAGCCACTCCAAGGTAGCATACTTTTGTGAGCCACCCGAGGGTAAATTTTTGAGGGCCAGCAGCCATCCAGCATAGCATCTCTCGTTTTGGCCCGATGTTAATTTAGAGCAGGAAGGGACCATTCCGAGCCGCAAGGAACCACTCAACCTGAAACCCAATCCTCCAAATGGTGCTTCTACATGCCTGCGCGCAAAAGTGTGTCGCTGCGCGCGCAAGCGATTTGACTTGGCAGGCGCAGGTGGGTTTGCGGACATCGCCCCTTCGCAATATTGGATTTTATGGGTTTGGTGTGTTGACCTTGCGTTTGCAAGTGGGTTGACTGTGGCGTGCACAAGTGAGTACATGGGGTGCTGCGGCCCCCTAACCTTCGGGATCAAGTCCACATCCTTGCCCTTCATTTTGCTTTTTGTGGGCGGACCCTTTCTCGCAACTGTACCAACCTTTGTCCACGTGTTCTCTCTCAAGTTGCTGCTTCTGCGCAGCTTACTTCCCCAAAATCGGCAAAAACGATGCAAAACTTGCACTCGAACCAGGCGGGGCTGCCAGCGTTGCCATATGTCTAGACTATTCATACAACGATCATAACTAACTGCATGGGAAGCACATGCATGGCTGAAAAAGGTACCCTTGTGTTCAACGGCTGATGCAACCCAACGGCCGTTGTTGATCGCCAGAGTTGAACAGTCTTTGCATCTGCTCGGATCAGCGTGGTTTTGAGACATGGGGGTTCCATCAGTACTTGGACGAGTGTGAGACGGACGCCGACATCACAGACGCAGGCCAACCTGTGGCAGCTGATCACCCCGAGTGGCCCAGCGCCAACCTGTGTTTTGCCGCAGGCCAACCTGTGGCAGCAGATCACCGCAAACGGCCCAGCGCCGAGCCCGCGACGACGGCGCAGCATGGTTTGGAGCGACTCCGCAGGTGGTTTTTACATCTTTGGAGGATACGATGGTTGCTTGGATGCAGGTGCCAAAAGCAGTGATTTGTTCGAGCGCGGTGGCGCAGCAAGTCTTCGCGCTGAGGTTCAGGCAGATTGAATGATTTGTATCTCTATCACCATGAGGCCAAGGGGGTAAAGAGCGATGGACCATGATGGATCACATCCATCGAGATGTTGTTTTCTAGAGAGCATAGTGCGGGGGCGCAACGCCAAGGTGGAGAAGATGATGGGTCATGTCCATCGTTTTTCAAAGTACATAGCGCATACCCCAGGCTTCGTTGCTGGTCCCTGTGGGAAAATCCAATTAAATCCAAGTAGGTTCGACGTGAAATATAGTGAAAGAACTGACACGTTTTACGCGTGAGCATGAGCTAGCGTACAACTGAGACATTGGCTAGAGCGGTATTGCTGCCAGAGAAAATGGACGAGCTTGCAAAAATACGCAGTAGTTTGCTAAGGGCTGCGCGCGGTTGAAATGCTGTATTTTTGCAAGTGTTTGGCGCTTTTATGACTTTCTGTCCGGTGAGTGCTATAGTCTGAAAACAGATTCGACCCAGACCCCGACCTCCTAGTCACGACTGAGTGCTTGCGATCCCAATGTAAAGATTATGATTTGTACTAGATCGACACTTCCTTTTTTCTTGGATCGATCGACGCTTTTTTCCTATTTGCAGCTACAAATTTATTGGAAATGCACATGGCGTGGCAGTGGTACAGAATGCGGGCTTCGTTTTCGTGCCTGATGCCTTCTTACTGTAGCTGCGAATGCCTTCCGCCAAGTTCCACAGAATCTTTTCAGAGCTAGTTTATAGTTGGTATTGTTTGTGGGCGCCTCCGACTCCCATTTCATCTCAAAGAACGAGGAGGAGAGCACAGATCCATAAACCAGCTGATTCATTGGTAGTTGAGGCGTAGGGTTTTCGACGCATCGGGGCCAGCAAACGTGAACGAACTGAAACAAAGGAAAACGGAGTCTCAACTTAACCAGCTTGCTTTGACGCGGGGTGTCCTTTGCTTTCACATGTCACTAGTTGGCAGCAACCCCGCTCGAGAACCATTGGGTTAGGAAAGGATGCGCTGCCTAACGTAAAACATGCGCCACACAGCGTGACAGCGCTATTAAGGGACGTCCGAGAATGTAAGTTAAGATTTCTGGGACAGGGGCCTAGCTCACTAGATAGCTAAGAATACATATTGGAAATGCAGTCGCAAACGCAATCACTAATGCCTCCATACATGGACCCTAGGGTCAAATGGTAAGTGGAAGGAGGAATGAAAGGAACGAAAGGAGACAAAAGCAAAGAGAAGAAAAGAACATGTAGAAATGTCTAAAGGAGTAACGTGAAAGGAAGAAACCAAGAAAGGAAAGGGCCTCGCAACATGTAAACTAGACTGGCAGAGACCTCTTGAACAGTGGCATGCACCTGGAAGCCCAGTGGACACACATGGAGACTAGATAGCTGAAGATACATACTAGAAGAAACGTTCGAAAAAGCTTCCACGCATGGCCCCTGGGAAGAAAGGACAAAAGAAGGAAAAAGACAAGGAAGACTTGTCTAAAGGAAAGAATTAGAGGAAGAGATCAAGTAAGGGAACAACCTCACTGAAGATATGTAAGTTGGACTGGCGTGACACTTAATCGACGCATATGGAAACTAGATGGTCACGGCGCTTCCAGGCGCTGGTGTGAACTGCTCAATAGTATTCCGCGCGTGTCCTCACGTGCTCCAACATGTTGTTCGCATAAATATTCCTTTTCAGTGCTTAGACGCCAGCTTTCCCATTGCGCTCAGTACGGTGTCAGGATTTATCACCGTATCCCAGCAATCCCTCACCGCGCAAGAAGACATTTCAACAAGAGGGCCAAGCACAAAGTGGCTACCAAAAACACCGACTGAGACGACGACGCAGGATGTAAACCAACGACAAGGCAGACCAAAGCGAACATGGTTTCATGGTCCTTGAAATGAAAAACACCTGCAAATCAAACAAAAAAGAAACCGTGACTTTCTTCAGAAGCCCAACCGCGCGCAACAATCGAGAAGCCCAACGACCATCACTACCCCGCCACCAATCCCCCATCTTTTGGAAACGCAACAGAACCACCAGGCGACCGAGAATACTGCCAGCAACTGGATAGCTAAAGATACATCCTGGAAAAACAGTCAACAAAGCTTCCATAGCCATACGGTCAAATGGTAGCTGCCGCCGGTCGCCGCCGGACGACTGGGCTGTGTGGTGGCTGAGGGCGGAGCTGCTCATCCCAGACCTGTAGGAAGGAAGAAAGAAAGACAGGAACAGGAGGAAAGGTTTAAAGGATAAAAGAATGGTTTTGAGAAAGTATGAAGAAAGAGGAACCTCCAGACAGAATGTAAGTTACAGCTTCGAAGGCTTCTAAACCAGTGGTGTGCGCTTTGAAATCCAAAGGGACCAAAACTAGATAGCTGAAGATACATAGGGGAAAAGAGTGAGTAAAGCTTCCATGCCTGAACCATGCGGTCAAATGGTAACCACAAAGAAAGGGAGAAAGAAAAGATAAGGGAGAAACCAAAAGGAAAAGCTTAAAGGAAAAGAACTCACAAGAAATAGCGGGCTAGACTAGTGAAGGCCTGTGAAACATTGGTATGTAGTATGTATCCATAAACCTGAAGGGGAAACATATGGAAACTAGATAGCTCAAGAAAGCCATGCTCTTTGCAATCACGCCATTTACTTGTGCAGACCTAGGGGTGCGTAGGTTTCATTTTCCAGCCCTTGCAGGAAAAATGTAAGTTACAATATTTGTATAAGGTCCCTCAGTTCTTTTTTCGAAAATTCAGAGGCATTTGAAAGATGTAATATTACAGGCTTTACGTCCAAAAAGACATGTAATATTACATGTTTTCGTTTCAAACATGGGAAAATCTAAGCTACATTTTGTAGTGTCCACCCTCCCTAATTTGCGGGCATGTTTTCTCTATGCTTCTGGCGCCCCGTGAGTGGCTGACAGAATTTGGATTGGTTTTTCAGGCGAACCAGTGGTGGCAAGTTCGCCCGACTGGCACACCACCCGGCCCGCGATCTAGCCACAGCATGGCTTGGAGCGATGCCGCGGGTGGTTTTTACATCTTCGGAGGATATGAAAGCAACTTGGATGCAGGTGCAAAGGGCAGTGAGCTGGTTGGGGTCGAGTGTAGCCGTGCAACGGCTGGCCAACCAGGTGGGGAATATTTGAATTATTTGAATGACGCGTACTTGTACCTCCGTGAGGCCAAAGGGGAGAGTCAGAGTTGTTAACATAAAATAGAACTATATTTAGGCCTGCGTTTAACATTTTAAGCCAAAAACAGATTTCAATCATTCAGCGCCAGCTGCTTGTTCTGTTGAGTTTTTCCCGAGAGCGCCTGCAAAGGGTTCTTCGTAAAAAAACATCTGCAGAACTACGTCTCATCTACATCTTCACATCTTCACCTCTGCACATCTACATTCTCACCTATATCTCTGCTCATCTTCACATCTGCACATCTACATCTCTGTTCATCTTCACATCTGCACATCTACATCTCGGCTCATCTTCACATCCTCACATCTACATCTCTGCTCATCTTCATCTTCACATATCTACATCTCTGCTCATGTTCACATCTGCACATCTACATCTCTGCTCATCTTCACATCTGCACATCTACATCTCGGCTCATCTTCACATCCTCACATCTACATCTCTGCTCATCTTCATCTTCACATATCTACATCTCTGCTCATCTTCACATCTACATCTCACATCTTCACCTCTCGCTCTTCTTTGCTTTCTCTCTTAAGGCCGGGGGCGGTGCCGCCGGAGCACCACGAAACGCAACCCTCTGCGGAGATCGCGCATGTCGAGGGCACGAAATGCAGGCGAGAGTGCGTTTTGACCCGGTCCGGCGCAACCCTCTGCGGAGATCGTGCGTGTCGAGGGCGCGAAATGCAGGCGAGAGTGCGTTTTGGCCCGGTCCGGCGCAACCCTCTGCGGAGATCGCGCGCGTCAAGGACGCGAAATGCAGGCGACAGCGCGTCTTGGATTTGGCGCGCGCAACCCTCTGCGGAGATCGTGCGTGTCGAGGGCGCGAAATGCAGGCGAGAGTGCGTTTTG